GAAATATCAGCAGTCATGCAGACACTGCGGAATCAGGGCATAGATGAAGTATATATAAACATTCTGGAAGAAATCTACAGGGGATCAACTGCTACCATAGTGCTTCATAAAGAAAGCAACAGAATACCAATCAAGAAGGGTGTAAGGCAGGGGGACACAATCTCCCCAATGCTATTTACCGCGTGCTTACAGGAGGTTTTCAGAAGCCTAGAAAGGGAACACTTAGGGATAAGAAATAATGGAGAATACCTTAGTAACTTGCGCTTCGCCGATGACATTGCATTGCTGAGTAACTCAGGGGACGAATTGCAACTCATGATTACAGAGTTAGACAAGGAGAGCAGAAAGGTGGGTCTTAAAATTAACCTGCAGAAAATGAAAGTAATGTACAACAACCTCGGAAAGGAGCAGCGCTTCGAGATAGGTAATAGTGCACTTGAAGTTGTAAAAGACTATGTCTACTTAGAGCAGGTAATAACCGCAGAGCCTAACCACGAGATTGAAGTAACTAGAAGAATAAGAATGGGGTGGAGCACATTCGGCAAGCACTCTCAAATTATTACAGGTAGATTGCCACTATCCCTCAAGAGGAAGGTATATAACAGCTGTATCTTGCCGGTACTTAGCTACGGAGCAGAAACCTGGAGACTTACAAAGAGGGTTCAGCTTAAATTGAGGACGACGCAACGAGCAATGGGAAGAAAAATGGTAGGTGTAACCTTAAGAGACAAGAAGAGAGCAGAGTGGATTAGGGGACAAACGGGGGTTAAGGATATTATACTTGAAATAAAGAAGAGGAAATGGACATGGGCCGGGCATGTAGTGCGTAGAGAGAATAACCGCTGGTCATTAAGGGTAACTAACTGGATTCCCAGAGAAGAGAAGCGAGTTAGGGGGAGACAGAAGGTTAGGTGGGCAGATGAGATTAAGAAGTTTGCGGGTATAAATTGGCAGCAGCAAGCACAGGACTGGGTTAACTGGCGGAACATGGGAGAGGCCTTTGTCCTGAAGTGGACGTAGTCAGGCTGATGATGATGATGATGTTGACCATGGTAGAACTTAGCACGTTATATTCGAGTGTCAGAGGTTCATTTCACCGACACCAAGGTATCCTTTCACTACGCTTCTTTCTTCATATTGTCATTGTGAATACTACTAGCATCTTCTACACATTCCCTTGCTTTGATGTGTGATAGTACTAAAGAACTTTCACCAACTGATGCTTATAAATAAAAGTAGTAAAACTTGACTAGCTCTTGAGCAACAGAGACGATTTGACATACAAATGACCTCGAAAACAGAAAACAAATGACCTCGAAAACAGAAGTCGCCGGAAAAATCTTGTTTTCTATGGCGTTGATGATAAAACCTCAGAATCCTGGGATGAATCCGAAGCTATAATAAAGAATATTTGCAAAACGAGCCTTGGAATGGAACTCGAGTCTGTGGAAAGGGCACATCGCTTAGGACGCTATAATGAGAATAAAAAGAGGCCAATTATTGTTAAATTCTCATTGTACAAAGAGCGTCAGGCAGTGCTTCTCAATGCCAAAAGATTCAAGAATTCCCAGTACAGCGTTAGCGAAGAATACTCACATGAGACAAGAAGTATCGGAATAAGCTGTGGGAATATGCTAAGACAAAAAGAGAGGATAAGAACAATAAAGTGAAGCTGAATTTTGACAAACTGATTATTAACGGCAGGGCTTTCAGGTGGGATGACGAAAAAGAAGAGGTCGTCCCAGTACGCAGGCAATGACAAACTAGAAAAAAGGAGAAATACCGATGTCAAGAACTTGTTGCCGTCATCGTGAACTGCCGAAGCGTAGTTAATAAAGTTGCTGAGCTCTTGGGCTTAATTGAGAGTGTTAACGCAGATATAGTCCTTGGCACAGAATCTTGGCTAAAGCCCTCGATTGCTGATAGTGAGGTGTTTCCGCAAAATTTCGTCGTCTATCGCAACTGATAGGCTCACAGCAGGTGGTGGCGTTTTTTACTTGTTCGTTCTTGCTTACAGTCATTTGAAGTTGATTATAAGTGCGACGGACTGGAGTCTGTATGGTGCAAGATAATACTGCCTGATAACTTCGCGTTTTTGGTCGGAGTGGTTTATCGCTCGCCGAGCTCAGATATTAGCATAATGCAAACATTAGATGAAATTCTTTCTGAAGCCTCAGCCCAGACAATACTCCTAGGGGGGGATTTTAATCTGCCTGGCTTATCCTGGGGTAATGGTTCCTGTATAAGTATAAGCGGGCGCATGAACCTTGCGATGAAAAATATCGTCGACACGTTTGCTTTGACACAGTACGTTACCACCCCTACTCGCAATGACGCTGTGTTAGACTTGTTGTTTTGTAGCTCGCCGAATTTCGTAAATGACGTGACTGTGATTCCAGGAATAAGTGACCATCTTGCTGTTGTTGCTTGTATCAGAAAGAAAAAAGTGTGTGCGAAGTTACCTACGAGTAGAAGGATCTACTTTTATGACAAGGGTGACTACGATGCAATTTCAAAAAAACTTCGTAATTCGTTCCCTGTTTTCGAATGTCTTTTTGAGGAGGGCCATGTGCATGATATGTCGGACAAATTTAAGAATATATTTTCCGAGTTAACAAATAGACATATCCCCAGTGTTCATTCATCACGGCTAAAAAAGCACAAACAACCATGGGTAACAGCACATATATTAAAACTTATCAACAAAAGGAAGAGGGCATTAGGCGCGTTCAAGAAAAGCAAATCAGTTGCTCACTTTGAAAAACTGAAGTCGATTACCCACGAATATAAGCTAAAGATAGAAAAAGCTAAAGATGATTACTTCACTGAGCTGAGCAACAAAATGAAATCAAATCCTAAAATGTTTTGGAAGTACTTAAACCAGTGTGGCTCAGATTCCTTTGGAAGCAGGAGTTAAATTATAACGGCAAGGTAATTACGAATGACGAGGATAAGGCTGCATGGCTAAACAACTTTTTCAACTCGGTAGTCTTACCCAAACACAGCTGTAATTATCATCCAACTATATTGAGCATTTCGCCTATGCTTCCTGTCGAGCTTAGTGTTAATAGAATTGAAAAACTATTGAAGGACGTTGATGAGAGTAAATCTAGTGGTCCAGATGGAATTTCTCCGCGTGCACTCAAGCGTTGTGCGGGGCCAATTTCTATGTATCTTTATGCAATTTTTGAAAGATCTTTATTGACAGGTACCTTACCACATGACTGCAAAATTGCGCACGTGGTAACGATTCACAAAGGTGGGTCCAAAAAACACGTTGGTAATTATAGACCAATATCGCTGACGTATCTCGTGTAAAATCCTCGAACATATTTTATACAAAGAAATATTAACTCATTTAAACAAGCATAAGGTACTAATCAACGAGCAGCATGGATTTCACAGAGGGCTGTCTTGTACAACACAATTAGTCGAATTTTATCATGATGTAATATCGGGTGTAGGTACTGTAGGACAGGTTGACGGTATGTTCTTGGATTTTTGGAAAGCGTTTGACACGGTGTCACATTCACTCTTACTGTTTAAGCTCACCACCCTGAACATTGATTAGACTGTTTTTAAATGGATCGAATGTTACCTTTCCCAAAGAACACAAACTGTAGTACTGAATGGAAAATGCTCCGAATACACCGATGTTACCTCAGGGGTCCCACAAGGCTCCGTCCTGAGTCCGCCATTGTTTTTAATTTATGTTAATGATCTCTCTGCAGGATTTTCATCTTCTATACGGTTGTTTGCGTACAGAAAAATTTTTGATCGCAATGATGTATTAGAACTTCAGAAAGACTTATCGCTCATTCATAGCTGGTGTACCAAATGGAAAATGAATTTGAATATAACAAAGTGTGTACATATTTCATTTACCAAAAAGATGAAACCGTTTCAGTCACAGTATCATCTGAACAATGTACAGTTCAAACAAGAGAGTACATATAAGTACCTAGGTGTAATACTATCATCTGAATGTTCTTGGAGGCCTCAGGTTGACACTCTCATAGCCAAAGCTGGTAAGGCCTTAAATTTCAATCAAAGAAACCTGCGATGTTGGCATGTGAATTTAAAACGTATGGCATACACTACTTGTATCAGACCTATCTTAGAATACGGTTGTGTCGTGTGGGACCCCACTGAGGTAACCTTCATTGCTGCTCCGGAACAATTACAAGACCGTTCTGCCAGGTTCGTCTTGGGACAGTACGAAAGGAGGGAAAGCTGCACTGCAATGAAGGCTGAGCTAGGATGGGAGTGTCTTTTTGACCGCCGCCAGAAGCAGAGATTAAAACTTCTTTACTGCATTTACTACAATAAAACTGGAATAAATAGAGAAATATACCTACACAACCCTCATTAAACTTCAAAACGTTTTGATCATAGTTGCGAAATTCGGGAATACCCAGCTAAAATGAACATGTATGCCAATTCATTTTTTCTAGAACGATTAAACACTGGAACAGGCTAGCTGAAATGCAAGTACATAGTGGAAACGAAGGTGTATTTTATTCACTGCTGTAAACCCGTGTTGTAACCTGAGCAAAGATGTATTGATGTGTGAACGAAATTCTACTATGTGTGCGAACGAAAATGTATTTCAGTTATTTACGTGTGAACAAAGTTGTATTGTGTGTGTGAACAAAGATGTACGCCATTTATTGATGTAACCCCCCTGCTATAACGCCTTCGGGCGCTGCGGGGTATCTGATGAATAAAGAATAAATACACATAGTGTTCATGTCTTTACATGCTTTTTTTTACAAAGTGCATTCTAAAAACGTCGCTGCAGAGCAACATTTTTTACAATGTGTGTTTGTCGTATGCTTTAACACAAAACCTACTGTCCGAGCACTGTTTAAATGCCCATTACTAATACAAATTGCATGTGAGCCTCTCGTCTGTGTCCCTTCTGTATCCTTCAGTCTTTGTCGGTCGCGCACTATATGTGTCACGGCACCTCAACAGTCATAAATTGAATGAAAGCATACCGCGCAGCATTGCAGCCGGTAGGCCTTGATGGTATGAGCGCTCCGCCGGCTGCTTCCTCGTCCCTCCAGCTTTCAGGTGAAAGATGTCCTTCCCAGTCCTCGCTGTCTGTGGCACCAGGGGGGCAATAGGACAGTGGAGGATGCTGTGGACTCCTTAAGGAGAAAGGTATGTAGCACTATGCATGCTCCGATGTATGCCTTCATATTGACTTCTTTCGCCTTAATGGGTCGGCACAGCACCCTCCACCTTTGTGCCAGAATGCCAAAGGTATTCTTAATAGTGCGGCGTGCCCTGGACATCCTATAATTGAAGACGCGACGCTCGTAGGACTTGTCGTCGTCTTCATGCAGTGCTGAAAAGGACAACACAGAACATTGTAGCAAAAATAAGCTCACAAGCCTTATATAACATAACGCTATCATTGGTGATAACAAATGAAACATGCAGTGAGCCGTGCACTGTCACAAAGGTCCAGCAAAGATGCTAACTTGCCATCACAGATGTTTCTGTAAGAGACCTTCAAAGGCCCCGATAAACTATAACTCTAATTACCTACATCCATGCAAGAAAAAAATCTCAAAATTCAAAACAATGATCACACAAGGAAGCAGAATTAAGCGCACTAGTCGCCAGTGTGTGCTTAAAGAGTACGCCCTTGTTTTGCTCCTCATTCTGAGTTTTGGTGGCTGTTCTCGCATTGCACCAACCGAACCATTTTTGCATACTTCTGAAGCACGATTGCCTACTCAAACACTTCTCTATTGCATATTGCTTTTAAAAAATCTCACAGGTCATTTGTCGAGTCATATAATGACGAAATTTGTACCTCTCTTTATTTTTTTCAAATGTAAGCAGCGAGGTCCTGCGTTCACCCGTGTTTGAGGCATAATTCGGACCACATACTGCTCGGTGTAATGTGTTGTAATTGTACCAGTGCAAACACCTTCTTTCCCACAACATTAAACACGTGACCAATCACGAGAGAGGTGGGCCAACATTTTTCCCTAAAATTCACGCATAGTCTACATTTCCACAGACACATCACGGTGCAACAATTCCTTAGTAAAATTAAGATGGCACGTAACAGCTACAATACAATGGCTTTAGTCCTGAAAGCTTGTTGCTGTTACTTACAAAATAGTAAACACAAACAGGTAATGATGTCTTGAGCCACCTATTTGATGTCCAAAATCACAACAGGGATCATTGTAGCATACCTTCTGCAAAGCTCTTGCACATAAATTGAAAAAACTAAGCATTTTTTCATACATTCTTAACTTACTCCGTCTTGCGTATGGCCGCATTACGTACTCCTTCAACGGGAAGGCCTCGTCTCCGACGAAGAAGTAAGGGAGGGGACCCTCGTTGCCCATGGTGTTCACTGGTGGCAAGCCCAGTGCTCCTTGCAAAATATTTTTTTGCGAGATTGCAGCGGGAGAAAATCCCACCGTCACTTTCACTTCAGAGTGCCCGAATTCCATGTATATGAACCTGGGTGCAAAAGTACTGTAGCTATAAGACTTTCAGCAAAGGCCAGCCACCAATACTCAGAGCATGTCTTGAAACCCATTGTCTTTCTATGAAAAATGTTGTTTGACCATGCACTGTAACTGCGTCCGCATACAATACTCATTGTTATGTCAGTGGTGCACAAAATAACTAGACACCTATAATGTTTTGTGCAGCATTCATCTCTAATGAGTTACCAAGTTGTGCAGCAGTCCGCCACTCTCAAGGATGGACTACTGTATAGCCTTCTAAAGTTCTATGTACACGCATGCACACATGGCAAAGGAAAATTATACACATCACTCAACCTCTTGACTATCACTTGTTACTTTGTGCATTAATGAAATTGTCAACACCTAGGCTCATAGTGCTGATGCTACCTTACTATTGTACACATCTCAATACAAGAACCCAGAATAACCTGTATTATGCATCACACACAGCAAGCAGCGATTTGCGGAGTGAGCCCTTATAATTGAAGTCCACAGACCCGGAGTTCGCAGGGCACTCTATGGTTACGTACTTGCCATCTATAGCACCGAGGCAGTGAGGGATGTTCCACCTCTCGTGAAATTCTTGTGAAATCTGCAAAAAAAATCCAACAAATGATCACCTTCACACACGTTGCCAGAGCTACGAAATGTACATCTGGCTGCTTCAAATACTCAAAACTTTTTGTAGCCAAAAAGCATTTGTAGCTAAATATGTGCCTCTCCTGAAGAGACTCTTAAGTCAATATGACAAAGCTTATGACACTGATGCTATGCCAAACAGGTTGCCTACAGGTTTTACAATGATATCTGATAGGCAACCTGCATATTCTATTGAAACTGAATGTTTACTTCAATTATATGCAAGTTATTGAGTACTAATGAACATAAAGCCCTTGGTGCAATGCATTTTGCATATGATTATCATCATGTGCTCCCCTGTGTTGAGAGGGTCAGGACTACAATGAGCTAAACATAAGCACATCATTCCCAGTTTAGTTCAACATACATTTCTCCCTTCCTGTAAAGGTGTGTTTCATGTGTTTTGCCACAATATATTTGGGTTAACATAGGCTGATCGGGCTTGCATTGCACTTCTTACATGCAAGCACATTCACTTTTTCATGTCATTTCTCAGTTAAAACCGAACTCTCACACATCAGCCATGAGTATTTTGGTGGAAAACCTTGCAATGTTACACACTCCTTTAATGACTGAGTTACCTTTACGTTGCGTTGTATCGACTTTGCCAGTAAAGCTGCTGCTATTGAGTTGTGTGTCAACCACCTTCACTCTGAACACACGATAACTTGTCTCACCAATGCATACACAAATCTATCAAATAGCGATTTTATGTCCTTGCTTATTCCAATATATTGTGCAATGCCTAAAAGGCAGTGTCCTGAAGTGTGTGCTATTTTGGTAACGTTCTAGCTACATTTCAATTACACCACACAAAGCAGCACAAGCCAGCAATGTGTCAATATCGTTGCTGCAAAAATGCTGGAAATACTAGCCTGCCATGCCTTCATCCACTCATCTGTTGTTGAAGGGTGCCGGAGGTACAGTGGCTGAAGTACAAGCCAAAGGGCCTCACTGACCTCTGACAGTATGGAGGAAACAGTTGATTTCCCGCTAGGAAGTTGAAGGCCACGTCTCTCTGGGTTTCGCCTGTCGCCAGAAACCTTGCAAGGCAATGAGATGCAGCAATGAAATAAATAAATACACTGAAATGAGCATGCATTAGGTACACTACTCGGTCCTTATGACGGCAATCCTTTCAGATAGAGCTTTCTTTGTTAATTGAGCACCTTCACTAATTACTTTACAGGTGACTGGAGATTTAACATTCAGAACCTCACTGCACTGCTTGTGTACTCTGCAAGCTGTCGTATATGCAGTGAATATTTCTGTGCGTACACATTTTGGCGAATCATAAGCATGCATCAACCTTTTCATGAAAGAGCGTACGTGCTCATATCACTCAGGTTGAAGAAGGGCAACCTAAACGTACCTGTAGCAATTTGCTTAGCATGGATTTCTGAAAAGCTGTAAATTCAAGGAGAACCTATTTCACAAAACGTACATCACTCAAGTCTATTGTTTAAATTGCTTTCACACAATTTGCTACCGTCCACAATACGTTTTGCCACTGCGCTACTGTCCACAGTGTATTGGGTCACTGTCAATTTACCAGAACATACGTATAATTGTAGCAAGGTGCAGGGGTTAAATGCTGCTCATGTTTGTGAAAAACTTCGCATGTGTACTTGTGCAAACACACACCGTCGTGCATGCAGATACATAAAGGGTGGTTGGTTCACCCTCCTCCCTCCCCGAAGCTGAAAAATATTTTTGGCATGAATACTCTTCGAGTGCCTCGAACAGCACATCAATTTGTCCTAACAATTTATGCATAATTGTACTCGCAAAGCTTAGGATTGTGTATCACTTATTTTATAACATCATTAATAATTGCGCTCTGTATAGTACCTGTGCATCAGGATAACAAAGAACGGGAACTGACACGTCCACAATGTGATGTCATTGGGTAGCACAGAATCCCATTTTCTGGGATTTTACAAGCGGAAACCACGTACTGATTACGCAATAAGCCACAACAGATGGTTTTCAAATATTCACCACCTGAGATTCTTAACGTACGTGCGCAACAAACGCGCCAACTTAAGTGCATTTCGCCTCCACCTAAAGACGATCGATGCGGCCGTAATCAAACCCGTCACCTACGCGTAAACTGCCGACCGCAGTAACGACTGCACCATCGAGCCCGTATACGTCATAAATGCAATTCGTTCTATCCACCCAAGCAAAACTTCCTTACAAGCGAAGCGCAGCCGCAAGCCACAGCATATTAATCTTCAAACCACACGCTCTTACCTAATGGTCATGGCCAGGCAGTCATGCGCCAAAATTGCAGGCCGGTTGTCTGTGTCCTGCTTAGATATTGCGGGGCGCAGCAGTTCGAGCAAAGTATCGAACGTTCGTGGCGGCATCTGCATGAAGCTAACCACCAAAAAAAGAATGAGATACATGTTACGCACTACCTTATAAGCACGTAAAACAACCATAAACTTACTCTCGGAAATACTCCTCGTCGTGCGAGCGCAGGTCGAGAAGCAGACGCCCTGTGTGGCCAGCCACTTCTCGCGAGCGAAGGGACGGTCTCACCCACCACCGCCTTGCTTGCTTTGAACGTTTTCGTGCTGCCAGCGCTGACACGTTGGCTGAGCACATCAGCACCACCACAACCTCTTCTTCATCACTCGACTCGAAGTCTATGATGCTGCCGGGAGAACGCTACGCAAACACAGCCGTCAAAAACAAACGCGTCACGCTCAGCGGGCTCTGTATCTGATCAGCTGATCGTCGCCGGTCGCCCAAGTTCTCGTTGATAACGAGATCTGTACGTGACTCTCCGGGTTTGCGACTTCCGATCGCTCGCATGAAGCCTTAAAGCCTGCCGGTGTGAACGTCGCTCGCAATTTGGTCGCCAGTCGCAAATGGTCGCGCGACCGCGGCTAGTCGCCGGTGTGCTCCAGCCTTTAGTGCTTATTCCCTCCACACATAGTTGCGCTTCAATCGCAGCTCCCATACCTCTTCATGCTAATCTCGCTATAGCAATAAATTTTGAACCGTTTTCGCCCGACCTTCGCGATCATTGAAATAGATATTCAAACTTGTTTCACGATTTCGAGTACTTCGTATGAGCCGTCTCGATATTAAGTGAACAGTAATGTACAAGAGGGAGAGAGGTTACAAAAAAGTGGTCAACGATGTAGGGTACTTTGTACTTTACTATGGGAGAGCAGTAAGCCGTCCCGTGGGCCTCACACTGGATGAGGCCGCATCGACTAAAGTTACGAAAACATCACTGTGTTTAGAATAAGTTGTTAACGATTTAGAGTACTTGGTACTCTACTATGGGAGAGCTTAAAGCCGTCCCAACTAGGGATATTTCCCTAGAGTTAGCAGCACTGTATCTTAGATACAAACAGCAAGAAGAAGTTTATTGACTTCCAACCAAGGATTAAGTACATGACAAAAACATCAAGCTTCACGACTACAAAGGGTGCATGTACAATCAGGAAAGCACCACTACCGAGGTACAATGTATGTGGGGGAACGTACCCCTCTATTTACTGTACAGCGCGTGGTGCTCCAGCAGGCTTAATCATGCACGGTGGTAGGTCTTCTCAACACGCGGTTGGAACAAGTAGCGACTTAGCGCTGTACAACTCTAGGTATTATTCTTTTTGTCGCCTGAAACAATGCTGCTTTCGTACACGGTAAGTGCATGCCCGGAAGTATAAAAGAGGCCTTGAGGCTGGGGGGGGGGGGGGGGGGGGGGGTACAAGGGAGGGGGAGGGGGGGTATTGTCTCCCCCCAAATAAGGCATCAGCAACAATCTGCGCGTAAAAAAACAGACTGAAGGCGCCAATCAATGAAGAAGGCGCTATACAAAAATTAACTCAAGTGTCCACCAGCACACTTTGCCCGAATTGATTACAAATAACAACGACAATGGGGTGATGAAATGAAAAAGGTGATACAGATATACACACACACACACACACACACACACACACACACACACACACACACACACACACACACACACACACACACACATATATATATATATATATATATATATATATATATATATATATATATATATATATATATATAAAACGGCGGCTTCCAAATGACACGGGGAAACAAAAGGTACGGGCAGTCTTAAACACGCATGGTCCCACTCATTTCTATCGATTAGGAAAATCATTGAAAAGCGGGTGCAATACGAAAAACACGCGGAACAACTAACCAAATATCTATCTCACGAAATTGCACCTAAGGGCCTCCGCCTAGCCTGCAACCCCTCAATGTCTACACTAAGTGA